AAAAAAACAAACAAACAAACAAACAAAAAACGAAGAATTAGACAGAAGGCTAGCGGGGCTGGAACATGGTGTGCAATTTGGTTTCCCTTTGTGAAAATCAGTGACTAGAACTTTGGCAAACAAGACCTTGAATGTGGGTGAGAGAGTGGGGAGATTGACATTGCTCATATTAAACATGTAAAAATATATCACTGAGACATTTCACCAAAGAAGATCTGCAGATGGCAAATAAGCACATGAAAAGATGCTTAACAGCATTAATTATTCAGAAAGTTCAAATTAAAACCACAAAAGGTAGCATTGTACACCAATTAGAATAGCTAAAATTAAAAAATAGTGATAACACCAAGTGCTGGTAGGAATGTTGAGAAACTAGATCACCCGTACATTGCTGGTGAAGATGTAAATGATATAGCCACTCTGGAAAACAGTTTAGCAGTTTCTTAAACATGCAATCAGGTACAGTGGCTCATGCATGTCATCCCAGCATTTGAAGAGGCTGAGGCTAGTGGACTGCTTGAGCTCAAAAGTTTGAGACTAGCCTGGGAAACGTGGCAAAATCCCATCTCTACGAAAAATACAAAAATTAGTTATGTGTGGCGGTTTGCACCTGTGATCCCAGCTACTTGGGAGGCTGATGTGGGAGGATTGCTTGAGCCTGAGAGGTGGAGGTTGCAGTGAACTAAGATCACACCACTGCCCTCTAGCCTGGGTGACAGAGTGAGACACTGTCTCAGAAAAAAAAAGAAAAAATGATAGACACTTGAATGAATGGCATTCAAGTGAACATGCCTTTAGATAAGTCCAGCTCCCAGATATAAAGCCACCTTCAAACATGCAACAGTTTGGCAGTTTCTTAAGAACAAAAGACACACAACTACCATATCACCCGGCAATTGCACTCCTGGCCATTCATCCCACATCAACACTGTGTTCACACAAGAACCTGCACATGGGTGTTTATAACAGCTTCATTTGTCATAGTACAAACCTGGAAACAATCCAGTTTTTTAACAGATGAATGGTTACACAATGGCATATCATACATGAAATACCCAAAAATAAAATGAGCAAATTATTGATATACTCAACAACCTGGATAAATCTCTAGAGGAATAAACTGAGTGAAATAAACAATTTAAAAAGCTTACATACTGTGTGATTCCACTTATGTGTCATTGGGGGAAACTGTGAAATGCATATGGGATCTCTTAATACTTTCTTAATAATTGTCAGATCTCTTTCTGGGTATTATTTCAGTTGCATATAAATCTACAATGATCTAAAAATAAAGTTTAATTTTAAAATACACCTCTGAGAATAGTGGGAGTTTGGGTTGGGATCAATTTTAAACATGTGATACATGGCAGAAGGCCAGACAGTGCAGGCCTCAGGTGTGCCACTTAATCTCTCATCTCCTGCTTCCACACCTGCAAAATGCTGGGGTTGAACTATAAACAGGTTTCAAGACCTCCTCTTTGCTTCTACAATTCCATAACCCTACTGAGCGATACACATTTGTGGAACCTTGGTTTTGGCCTTCTATTTATCAAAGACCCTCTGAAAATCTTTATGGAAACAGCAGTAACTATCTTTCTGGCATTACACCAGAAGAAGTAAATTCGGCCTTCTACCCACCTGAAAACTGCTTTGCATGCTACAGCAAGATTACTGGAATTACAAAAGGAGAAACACCAAGCATTTTCTTTCATGGCTAAAAAGGTCCCCAAATCCACAGTGTCCTCACAATGTCCTCTTCCACAAAAAAGGAGGAACTTCTTCCACACATACACCGTGTGCTCAAGTTAATACTTTCTTAAAAATACTCAGATCTCTTTTTTAGAAACTAGGGGAAGAACTGGGGTGTTTTAGGAACTCTGTTTTGCATTCAATATTCAACCATTCATTCATTTATATTGTAAGCCCTGGAGGTGCCCTCAGTTGTGACATATTTCTTTCTTGACATTTTAATATAAATTCTTCAATGTATCCCTTTCCTTATAGGCATATCCTTTCCAGTTGAGCCATACTTATATATGCAAACTTAGTCCTCAAATCTCAATCTTGTGACCCATTGTGTTTTCCAAAGATGACTGCAAAATCATTCTCATCCCACATGCTCTTCTTAAAATGCAACTTTGACATTCTTATCATGAAGTGATGGGGACTATGTTTCCTCCCCTTCAATCTGAGCAGAGCTAATAGTACATGTTGGAAGTGACATATGCAAATTCCAAGGGTATGGCATAAAAATGCAATGTGCATCCACCTTTTTCTTGGGGATACTCACTATTGGTACCCAGCTGCCATGCTATAAGTAAGCCCAAACTCACCCAATTCACCAAGGTAAGGAGGCTACATGGAGAGGCTACCCATAGATGTTTTGGTTAACCATTCAGCTGAATCTCAAACAGTAAATAACTAGCATCAGTTGATAGACGTTCAAGTGCATGTGCCTTTAGATAACTTCAGCTCCCAGATGTAAAGCCACCTTCAGATTTTGAGTGACAGATAAGATTCTAAACATTGTAAAGACAAGCCATTCTCACTATGCTGTCTAAATTCCTGTCTCACAAAAGTTGGGTGAGGAATTGATCATAATAAAATGGTTATTTTATAACACTAAATTAAGAATACTTTGTTGAGCAGCAATAGATAACTATGATTATACTTGTTAGAATAAACATCCTAACCTAACTCCCCCCTCTCTCTCAATCTTCTGCTGGTGCTCCCCATGGCCCAACCCAACTGGAATCTAGAAAGGAAGGAAACCCAGTCATGTAACCCATGTAAGTCAGCTTTGGGGGGCAGGAAATAGGGTGGAGTGTGGAGCTGGTGAAACTGGCAGATATCCAGTGTAGTTTATACTTTGCCTTATTTCAATGATGATGTAAGGTAGATGGCATGAAAGTTGTGATGCCTAAATTTTGATCATTATGGAATAAATAATAATAAACAGCAATCATCTAACCATTCTTTCAGATAAATCTTTAAAATGAGGGATTCTCTATCAGCTGTGGCTCTATCATGAAGAAGAAGCAGAGTTTAATCATTAAGAGCCTAGGTTCTGGAACCAGTCTGCCTGTGTTCAAATCCTGGCTCTGCTACTAACCAGCTGTATAAATTTGGGTGGCTCCCTAAGCCTTTCTGTGCTTAACTTTCCTCATCTGTAAAGAGGAATAAAAATATTGCCATCCCTATAAGTTGGTTGTGGAGATCAAATGAGTTAATAATGGTAAAGCACTTAGCATGGTGCTGGTTAAGAGTAAATACTCTGTAAGCATTAGCCATTATTATAACATATAGGAGAAGATTTCAAGGTGTAAAGTGTGGCAAAGAAACAAGATGGAAAGGCAGCAACATGTCTTTCTTTTTGCCTTTATTTTCTTCTGAAAAACACCAATAGTTGCTGCAACGATCTGATGCTTATGAATTCTTTAAAAAGAATGACTTTACCAGGATAGAAAAAAGTTGAAGAGTGACTCAAGTAGGTAAGAAGGAATAAAAGCTATCTTAGTTCATTTTTTATGAACTAGAGGTGTGATTTTTTCTTATGAACCAGTGACACATTATTAGAGCTTATTAGCTTTGAAGTAAATCTATTACTTTGGTCTTCTCTTCATAAGTTCTATGAAAAAAAATTAAAATCCAAGGCAATAGTTCTATAAACAAATAACCTCTAGATAAATACCATTGGTAGCAATAACATTCAAGGAGAAAATAAATGACATACTCATATCATGTTATGAAGAGGTTATTAAAGGGAATATTTATAAAAACATGAGCAAGGCATAAAGAAAGAAACTGCAAGGGATAGTTTATTACTGCGGGACTGGCAGCCATGATGGTACTGCAACCCCTAAACCTGCAAGTACAAGAGTAGAGTCATTGGCTAAACCTGGAGGGAAAGCTGTATGAAGAGGACTGCA